TTGCTTCTACTTCCTTCCTAAATCTCTCTTAAACCACTTACCCATCTACTTTCACTACCACAATCTCAACTGAGGCCACTTTTGTGCTTTGGGTGGGCAGTCCTGCTCAAGTTGCTTCTTAACCCAGTCCCTCTAACAGCTAAAGTGACATTTTAAAGGGTAAAACTGGTTGTCTCACATCACTGCATCACTGCATCAACAACTTATCATTTTTCTTAGGAAAAAGGAAATCTCCCAAGCCTTAAAACACAGTGCAGAAGGCTCTGCATGAGCTGACCCCTCTTGCCACCTGTCCCCCAGCCTCATCTCACCCCCCCCCCACCAGCTACACCAGGCTTCTCGCCAATTTTCCAACAGCCGTTTTTGCCTCAAGCACCTATACATGTGCTTCCCACGCTTCTTCACCCAGCCAAAGCTCACTCGCACTTCAGGTCTCTGCTTAAGCAGCATTCTCTCCCAGAAAGCCTTCCCTGTCAGCACCCTGAATCTTTCCAGCAGAGCAGCAGTAGAAATTTAGTAACTGTGTAATTTGGTTTTTTACTCTTGTCTCCTCAAAAAAACATAAGTGGGGACATCAGAGAAGGCAGGGTCTATGTCTTGATTGTTCACTGCTAGATACACAATAGAGTATACTGGCTTGCACATGAGTAGAATTTTTTTGAATTGTGGTAAAAAATACATAAAATGTACTATCTTAACCATTTTTTAAGTTTACTTCAGCAGTGCTAACAATATTCACATTGTTGTGCATCAGCTTCTGGAATTTTTTCATCTTGCAAACACTGAAACTCTATATACCCACTGAACAACACCTTCCCATTTCTCCCTTCCCTCGGTCCCTGGAAACCACCATTCTACTTTGTTTCCATGAGTTTGACTATGGATACCTCACATAAGCAGACTCATACAACACTTGTCTTTTTCTGACTGGCTTATTTCACTTAATTATGATGTCCTCTAGGTTTATCTATGTTATAGCCTGTGATAGGATTTTCTTTTTTAAGGCTCAGTAATAGCCTGTTCACATTTTCTATATCCAATGTCCATCAATGGACATTTGGGCTCCTTCCACCTCTTGGCCATTGTGAGTAATGCTGCAATGAACATGGGTGTGCATCTATCTTTTTGAGATCCTGCTTTCAAATTCTTTTGAATATATACCAGAAGTGAGACTGCTGGATCATACAGTAATTCCATTTTTAATTTTTTGAGTAACCTCTATACTGTTTTCCATAATAGCTGTGAAGCAGGATATGTGGCCTAGGAAATTGACCACCTCCTCCAGGGTTATATGGTCAGGTGCCTCACTGGTTACACAAGTAACAAGTGACTGTATCCAGTACCTGCAGCTGGAGAAAAACAAGAACTAGTTTCATCCAGTTAGACTGATCCCTATGACAGGGGCCTCACCTTAAGCTAATTAGAATATCATTATAACCTCATTTCCATTGTGGTTACTATGACTCTCATCATGCATGTGACACTATGACAGTACTGGAGGAACCAAATATGGAAGAAAAAGCGGGAAATGAAGGGTCCTACCCAGGGGGAGGAGATCAATGAACCACGTCAATGGGACATCATCAATTCTCACCCCTGGAGGGATAAAAACCCCTGATCGCGCTTCCTTGGGGCGACTTGTTCTCTGAGTGCATCTGCACTTTCTTCTCAAGTGTGCACTTTCATTTTCAACAAATCACTTTCGCTTCCCTGCATCTGTCTCACTCTTGAGTTGTTCTTTCTTGCACCAAGAGAAGAACCCGGTCACTGCTGCTCGGGGCTGAGCCCTCTCTTGGACATCCCTGTGAGCTCCGGCGACATCTCTACTATATTACATTCTCACCACCTGTATACAAGGGTTCCAGTTTCTGCACATCCTCATCAATACTTGTTACTTATTGTTTGTTTGTTTTTGTTTTTTTTTTAGTTGAGCCATCCTGCCACCTGTTGGCAGCTCAGTGGCTGCTCAGCTCAGGCCCGGACTCGAACCGCTATTGCTCAGAGCTCACACTCTTGAGCGAGCTCTTAACCAACTGAGCCACTCAGCCAGCCCTGTTTGCTTTTTTATAGTGGCCATCCTAATGGGTATGAAATGGCACACAGGTGATCTTTAATAAATATCTGTTAATGTCTAGATATACTAAGGCTACACAGATAAAAAGGTATGCTCTTTACCCTTAAGGAATTCCTAGATTAATGGGGAGAAAGACTGATACACAAAAAAGGCTTGTGCTAAATGTCTAGACAACAGATGGACGGAAATGTCAACTTTCCTTCAGTTGGGGCCAGAAGGTTGGTGGTGAGTGATCAAAGAAATCTCATAGAGTAGGATACTGAAGTTGGAGCTTAAGGAAAAGTAGTCATTCCAATACAAAAATGGGCAGGGCATTCCAAATGTAAAGAATAGTACGTTCAAGCAGATCTTGTATGGACCAGCAAGGCTCCTTTTAGGAGGGAAATTCGTGTGGATTAAATAGGGACCATATGTGAGAGGTTACTAAGAAATGAAGCTAAATAAATAGACTAAAGTCTCATGACAAAGAGTCTAGTAAACCACACTAAGAAGGTTAGACTGTATCCATTAAATGGTTTTAATCGAGGAAGTGCCAAAATCAGACATGCATCCTGAAAGCTCAATCTAGCAGCAGTGCAAAGAATGATCACAGGGGCCGGGGACACGGCAGTTTGTCCAGTTAGGGGGCTAATAAAATAGTCAAAGCAAGAGATGATAGGAGCCTAAACCAAAGCAAGAACTGTGGACAAAGAGAACCAGGAGAGTGATGTTAGCAGATGGAAAGGCAGACCTTCTTAACTGATAAACAATGAAAGGAGGTATAAGAATTGGAAGGAATCTATACCCACCTTCAGGGGACATATGAAACTTAAGGGGAAGATGACCAGTTTGCTTGTAGACAAGAGTGTAGTATCCAGCAGTCAAGTGAAATACATGAGTCTGAGCTTCAGATGAAAGCTATGGATTAGACTCATATCCTGGGAGTCATCAATCAAAACTAGTGAATCCTACCATCTGAATATCACTCTCCCTATGTAAATCTAATGTTCCAGAAATAGCAGATATCTAATATAGCATATCCTCTTTCTACTAACAGAACATGTTATTCTACATATTTTATAACATACTGGATGATCTCCCTTATTTATAAAGATTAAATGCTCCCATGGATGTACCAATACATAATCTCACTAAAAGTGGATAATAACCAATTTCCCTCACTTTCTCTTTTGCAGCTTTGAGGGCCAACAGAAAGGTGCATGACTGAAAACATTATCAAGACCACCTTATAATTAAAGTCTAAAAAGAGTTTATTTAGTCTAATGTCTAATATGTTATTACTTCTGAAAGAAGTATTCTAAACAGAGTTCTAATAAGAATACTCACATACTATTCAGCAGACAGGCATGCATTTAATTGTCTTTACTTTAAATGTGGAACTAAAAACTACAAATTAGGTATCAGGGATATAACACTAACCAAGTTGAGAAAATTTAGTTCATATATAATTATTGCCTTTAGTACCCTGATTTCATTACCAGGACACATAAATACAAACAATGATGGCATGTGAGCAAATAACAAAATGTACAGCCTATGTTCATCTACTGACTGTTGTGGTCTGTGATGCGAATATTGGATGCTGGAAAGGAACTCCTTTCACTGTGACCAAGTGCTCTGCACATCCTCAGACAGAATGATCACAGTGAGTCTGCTCACAGCCACAGTCTAACACTTAAAAGGTCTTCCCTTCAGGTGCAGCCCTGGACCAAACGTGCACTCTTCTTTACTCAGTAGCTTCTCCACCAGACTCAAGTCCTCAGCCTCAGAAAGTGACACAGAAGAGGAAAAAGTCCTTTCTTGACAATAAGGAAAGTGCTACAGGTTGAATGTTCGAATCCCCCCACCCCTAATTCATATGGTGAAATCTAATCCCCAATGTAAGAGTACTGGAGGTGGGGCCTTTGGGGGTGACTAGGTCATGAGGGTGGAACCCTTATGAATGGGATTAGTGCCCTTATAAAAGAGGCTTCAGAGAGCTCCTTGCCCCACTCACCACGTGAGGACACAGCAAGAAAGAAGGCACTGTCTATGAGCCAGGAAGTGGACCCTCACCAGACACTGAATATGCTGGTACCTTGATCTTAGATGTCCCAGCCTCCTGAGCTATATATGAGAAATACACGTCTGTTCTTTATAAACCATCAGTGTACAGGGTACTTTGTTAGAAAAGCCCAAACTGACTAAGACAGAACGTTAAGGATAAGTCTGGGTTCATTGCTAGAACTGGTTAATGTTTCTCTCTTTAATTCACCTATGAAAGTGAAAAACCCTGAAATTCCCTCTAATTAGCATTCAAGTATTAGAGCACTCTGATGCTCCTACTTAGTGTCTTGAGAACTTCCTGGGGCAGAAACAATCTCAACACATTCCTGATGGCAGGTAGCTCTCCACAGGGTACTTGCTGGCCGGTCAAATCTACCCCGAGTGTGGCTGGACCACAATCCCCTTTTGTTCCCAATAACCCAACAGGGCAAGCAGCTCCTCACCCCACATGGCCACCAAATCTATTCAGCGAGGCAAACATTCTCTCTCGAAACTCCAGACAAGCACACACGGGCACCCTTGCCATTCCTTTCAAACACCTCCTTCCCTGCTTTTCAGCCATGCTTAACGCCTACCGTACAGGTGAATGCAAGAACTAAAACTTCAACCTTAAATTTTTTAAATCAGTTATTTCAGTCTCTAATAATTAACATAGAATAAGACATTCCATTCTGTCCTTTTATAATGTGAAAAAGCAAACATGTACACAACAGCAAAAAGTTATGATTCTCTCTACACAAGCTTTCAATATTTACCAAATTTCCACAATGAATATAAAACGTAATAAAATGTAAAACATTATTTTAAAGCAAATTTTGCGCTAATTAAAAAAAATACAGCATTTTCTAAGAAGATATAAACTTGAAATAACTTCACTTACCTTCTGCTCAGGGCTTTCCTGAAATAAAAGTCCAAAGTAGTCCTTCTCCAAGAGGTTCAGATGCTCACACACTTCATCAAATAACACTTGTCCCTTAGCACGTTTCTGAAAGAAAAGAAATATCACCTTTACTTTTCAAGCACTTAAATGATCCATGAGTACTGTAAATACAGAGCAGCCTATCAGATAACAGTATTTAGCTTAAACCAATATAAAATATTTGTTTTCCAATCTCTTAATACAAAAGTTATTAATAACTTTTTACTTTAGATTCCCCCCTACCCATAAAATGCATACAACAAGTGCATGATGGGACAGATGCTCTGTTTTACTGCTGCTCTATGTAAATATAAAAAGCACTAAAAAGTAAAATGCTAGGAGTTCATTTATTTTTAAAACAATACAAAAATATGTCCGAACTACCTCCCTCAACTCCTCAAGGTGGCTCATGTCATATCTACAAGGAAAATCATTTAGCCTTATTCTTCACTGTACCCTAACATGATTGATTCCATCAGCACTTACGTCTGATTTTTGTTCTGTGTGTGATATCTGTAGAACAGAAAAAAAAATTTCAATATAAGCTACAGTTTTTCTCAAGAATGATATGGCATATACTCTTTAGAACAAATTTTAAAAATACAAGGTAATGGAACTGGGACAATAAATCAGCTGCCTCTAAGGATTTAACATGTTTGCCTCAGTTTGATGAGTTTTGTTTTTTAATTAAAGAAGTTGCTATCAATAGAGATGTGAAAGCCTTTGACAATCATGGAAGAAAAGCTCCGTCTAATCAATGGCAAAACATAAAGTGGTAGCTCATTTCCAATTAAGATGCACACCGCTGGGAATGCCCAACTGCAAGGCCAGGGCATACACATGCCTCCATCCCCTGCACGGATACAAGCAACCGCTGGACTGCAAGTGAAAAATGAACAAGCCATCAGACGTTTCCATCCTCCACCTGGATGCCCTCACACTATCAAAATGTATACTTGTTAGTTCATCCAGTGTGTGAAAATTAATGTTTCCCACACATCTTTAAAAACTGAGTAGACATAAAAGACATTTTACTTTCAAATAAGTACAACCATGATAAGGGATATGAAAAGATAGTCTTCACAGAAACTCAATTCATGAGGTTGTTTCTCTCCTCTAACCTTTTCTTCCTCTTTCTGGGAGCAAAAGTAAGAAATTCATGCTTAAAAGACTTGCAAAGGAGAATCAGAACTTTTATTAAACGTTTTATAGTAACATTTCTTTTAAAAAAATGGAATTACGTCTAACAGTAAAGGGAAGAGAAAGAAAGCTGCACAGATTACATTATTTCATCCTAATAAGCAATCCATATCCATATCACTACATATCCAGAAATTTAAATTACCACGTACATTTGAGATAAGTGAATCAACTAAAAAAACTATACGTAACATACTTACTTTAAATGAGGTGACACTGAACCCACTCAGGCTCATAGTGACTGACTATAGCTCTAATTTCAGTACCTGCTTTCTTATCTAAGGCAACAAAGAGCAAACTATTATAGATCCTGCCGCAGCTATCACCCACTATCTATTTATAGTGAGGTATAAATTAGAAAAAAAATTTTATCTACTATGAAGGTTTATCTTTTTATCTAGAAAGACACTAAAAACTCAATGGAAGTATATATAAAACTTGATCTTTTAATCAGACATATTTCTCAAAATTATCATGTCTATGACACCTCTGGCTATAAATGACAACTAATTTCAAATTAACTACTGAAACTAAGTAGCTGCAGACATCATGAAGAAATCAGACCATCAAAAGGAGGTTCATACTATTTTATTTGGTTATAATGCCATTGGATATTAGGGTAAAAAAGATATATAAGACAACTTGTCAATATGTATCCCAGTTGAAAGAGAAAACACATTCCAATATTGGTGCAAAGTCAATTTTTATTAATAAATCATACTTTCTCACTGGTTTCCATTTCAAATATAGAAACATGCTCTCATGGACAATATTCCGCTCAAAGAGTAAGAGGGAAACAGCCACGAAACTCACCACCACAATCTGGTGTTGGTGTGCGAGCAGCATCAAGGGGCATCAGCATGGGGCTGGAGTCAGACCCAGTTCCTCCCTCATACAACATTTTGTAAGCACTTTACTATTACTAGACAAGGTGACAATGGCTAAACCACTTAGTCTCCTTAGAGTCAAGGGTCAAGTGAGATCACAGCTACCTCACGGCTCACTGTGAGGGTTAAATTAACCCAGTGAGACAGTGTATGTCCAAGTGCCAAACCAAGTGCTGTACTCAATCACAGCTGAATTCCATTCCCAACTGTTCTTTCGCTAGCTCACAACTAAAAAACACCAAAATTATCTTCTAGATGCTCAGATTGCTTCTCTACTATTCTCTCCTTCCCTCTCCAGGAAACAGATCCTTTAAATGCTTGATAAGATCTTAACCAAACACACATATTACTTAAGTTTCCATTCAGTATCTCCACCCTCAATGAACTCCAAGTCTGGCTGGAAAGACAAAAATGCAACAATACTATGAGGCATGTGCTGAAAGATGCATGTACAAAGTGCTATGGGAACAACAACAAGATGGATTGAGTAACTGTGTCAAAGAAAAATCATAGCTTCACCAAGAATGTGACATCTGCAATTAATCTTAAAGGAGGAAATTTTTTTTTTTTTTTTTTACAGCAGAGAGACAGCATATTCAAATAAACTTACTCTTTACTTTGGATGTTTATAGAGTCTGACAGCCATTTTCTATTCAAAAGATACTGGAGGATATAAAACAAAATAAGTAACCCATCCATAATGGACAAACCATGCAATACAACTAATAGATATATTGTCCCACTCTCTGATGACCGTGAAGGCTTACCAAGCCAAAAGGTTCAATACATACTGATCCAGTATCCAATATGTATTAGTTCCTATGGTAAAACACTGGGGAAACAACAATAAATAAGATATATATGGTGTCAGGAACTTTACATTCAACCGGCCAAGACAGAAAATAAAAGCAGGCACCCTCCCATACCAAAAAAGTCCTAATACTTTACCATTCTGGCCATAACTAGGCACGTGGGTCCAACTGATCCAAAGACAATTGACCAGTGGCCTATGAGATAGCCTGATACAAGAGCTCTACCAAAGGCAATGTCTTACTCTAGGGGTAATAAGATTAGCAGATACAAGGAGTTTAAATACAAAGCAGATATACACCCATACTTAGGTACATACACACACACACACACACACACACACACAGAATCATAGAGCAGAGTGGTGCCAATGAAGAGATAAGACAATGAGGAGACAATAAGCAAAGCCAAGCGTATCGGGAAACAGAGTTGTATTTGTCAAAATTTGTTCCATTGATCCCATTGGTCCCATGAGATGCTCCATATATAGTAATACTTTGGTTTGTGAGCATAATTCGTTCTGGAAACAAACTACTCATTTTGCAAGGTATCGCTCGTTTACCAAGTAAAAATGTATTGGAAATGTTTGCTCATCTTGCAGAACACTCGCAAACCAAGTTACTCGCAATCCAAGGTTTTACAGTATACACATACTCTTATCCGCAAACAGGGGAGTAGAGTGGGACCAAAAAAATTCTGCTTACTGTACATAATTACTAAGCATCAAAACTCCTATTTGCATAAGATACCCTGAGAAGTTCTATGATAAAAAAACCAACTTGTTTCCTGTCATCAACCTGATGTTTCTCAAAATTATTTGGCTAAAACCCCACTATCTTTTAAACACAAAACACCAACTTATTCCACAGTAGAATTATTGTTCAAATGATCATAGCTCAACAAATGAGGTGGAGAAGAATTACCATGACATGGCCTTCACACAGATTTGGGGACTGGCATTAACATTATATTTTTGATTCAAAAGTACCCAAAAAAAAATCAATTCAAACTGGTACAGGATTGGATGTGCCCAGCTGTCTGGCAGAAGCAAATGATTTCCACAAGCAAAATCCCAACAAATATAATAATTCAAACACACGAGGAAACCGGTTGTTATTATTGAGAGTTACACAAAGTATCAGAATCAGATCTTCAGAGACTATGAGTAATGGAAATTATGAAGTATAAAATACAAAACAAGTATGTTTTATCTGTTTAAAAAAATAAATGGGGGGGCCGGCCGAGTGGCGCGATGGTTAAGAACTGGCTTGGGACGCCAGAGGGCCCCGGTTCGGATCCCACATATGAGGGCCAGTGACAC